CCATGGATGCTGGTTAGCGTGGGGCAGCTGGGGTTCTCCAGAGGTAGCATTGGGGGGCTTGGGGCAACCGTGGGGCTGGGGGTCTTGGGGCAGCTGGTGGCTCCGGCGGTCGTTTAGGGTTCAGGAATGGAGAGCTGGTGGGAAGGGAACCCTGGGAGGGGGCGGGGTGTGCAGATGTGGCGCGGGGATGGGAGCAGGGGGTGCCAGCGGGGCTGGAGCTGCCGTGCCCCCACCCCCAGGAAGCCTGACATCCCGGTGCCATACCTGTATGTGGACATGGGGGTGGCCGTGCTGTGTGCCAGCTTCATGTCCTTCGGGGTGAAGCGCCGCTGGTTCGCCCTGGGGGCCGCCCTGCAGCTCGCCGTGGCCACGTACGCCTCACACGTTGGTGGCCAGGTGCACTACGGCGACTGGCTGAAGGTGAGACCTCCCCACCACGCACCCCCTAGGGACTCCCTTCCCCGTCCCCGGAGGGCTCAGCACTGACGGTGGCCCCCCAGGTGCGCATGTACTCCCGGACCATCGCCATCATTGGCGGTTTCCTCATCCTGGCCAGCGGTGCAGGCGAGTTGTACCGGCAGAAGCCCCGCAGCCGCTCTCTGCAGTCCACAGGCCAGGTCTTCCTGGGCATCTACCTCATCTGCCAGGTACGGGGGGCACCGGGGGGGCGGGCGGCGACGGCACCGAACCCATCCCACAGCCACAGCCCCCCTCCCGCAGGCCTACTCTCTGCAGCACAGCAAGGAGGACCGGCTGGCTTACCTGAACCACATCCTGGGGGGGGAGCTCACCCTGCAGCTCCTCTTCGTGCTCTACGGTCTCCTGGCTTTGGCCTTCCTCTCCGGTTACTACGTGCGGGTGGCAGCGCAGGTCCTGGCCGTGCTGCTGCCTCTCGCCATCCTCCTCATCGATGGCAACATCGGTTACTGGCACGAGGCGCGGCGCGTGGAGTTCTGGAACCAGATGAAGCTCATCGGGCAGAACGTGGGCATCTTCGGCGCCGTCGTCATCCTGGCCACCGACGGCTGAGCAGGACTTGGGGACGGCGCAGAGGACAGCTTTTGGCTTATTTTATTTGAAGGATTGCTATTTATTATTAATTTTTTTTTTTTTTAAATATGTAAATATTTGATAACAGGA